ACGGCAGAATTTACAACAAATACAGCGACGAACAGTCGCCTATTTCTTCATCATGCATCCAAACTAACCTTTTTTCTCTCAAGACAATTTAGACCCAGCAAAATTTGGAATTGTTTTTTTTTTTTATTAAGTTACATCGCTTTGCGCCTTTAAACAAACAAATACATATCGCTCTGTACAATAGACCGAAGTTCCTGTCAACAACTCAATCCCAGCGAGTCCTGTGCAGAGCCAAGCCTTTTAGATCAATTACACTCTTATTAATTAATTAACGTACTTAAGGACGCTTGCGACACTGCCAAAGGATTTAAGACAGCCGCTCTTTTACCTGTGTGCACTAAAGACCATAAATATCAACACGGGACACCTGTGCTGGGGTCTACCCATGCTGTCCCTTGCCCTATGGGCTACATGCAGGGGTAAAAGAGAGAAGTCTTTCTCTATACAAACGGGCCGAGAGCGAAAGGTGAATTACTGAACGAGCATGGCGTTTCTCTACGAAGCGCTCGAGACCCCTTCGGATTTAAGCATTACTTGATGTTTCGTTGTTTTAATGCACGATTCAGCGCCGAAGTGCTACGCGTGCGCTCATCTTCGCAGTCACTGAGGAGAAAAACACAAACAAAACAACAACAAGCGACTACTTTTACATTTCAGGGGGGAAAAGCGTCCTTCAAGTGAACATTTTAGAGAATTATACACGTGAATGCCCTAAAAAATGCTTCATCATGTCTGAAATTTGAATAAATTATGCCTATACCGCGACCAGGAGAAATCATAAAAACAATGAAAAGGATAATTTGCAGAAAACGGTGGAATGTCTGATTTTCCGTCTGAGGATTGCGATGGTGAGAATGGCCTATACACATATAGGCTACATTTTCTGAGGTAACGTTAACTTAGTCTACCTTAACGGACTTGGGGCCTACGCCGTTCAATAAAACATTACGCCTCAGCTGGAAATGTAACCAACATTTGTAAAAAGAACGTTTCATATTTGTATATGTAACGTTAAACATGAAATTACTGTCCTGTGATTTCCCTTAATAGTTTTGACAAAATAATTTTGTGTCATGAAACAGCTCATATCACTGTGGGTAAAAAAAAATCCTCTCAGAGTTATGACCTGAGGTCCTGTGGGGCCATTCAAAACTATTATTATTTCTTCTTCCTTTCTGCCTCAAATTTACAAGTTAGCACGAGGAATTATTAATTACTGTGAAATGACACACTTTTTTAAATCAATGTTCTAAACCCCTGTGAGTGGAAACAACGCCACTCGCCTCAGCTCGACGATCCACATCACCTGCTATTCATTTTCATTTAAGTTACAGTACAGAATGAACGCCTTAACACCGTACAAAGCCATTTATCCTGCTTTACTGAACGTGATTTGACCAACATCGCCCACTTTCAGGGTCTGAACGCTGCTCTGAATGAGTGAGAGAGGGTAAGATGTGACGGAGCTTTGCCGCCTCCAGCACTTACTTGGTATTCGTCGTGTTCCAGTATATGGAGTCCAGGATGAGCGCGCGGGACAGGTTCACCTTGCACGTGATGACTAAAACTCCAAAGTAGTATCTCCACAGAGAGTCGCCCATGGTCCGTTACGACCGTTACGGTCAAATTCCGTTTCGCGGGAATTTCTAATTCGAAAAAAAGATAGAAAGTGTCTTGTTTGGAGTGCTGCTTGTGACAATCCAAACTCAATATCCCCCGTTCCAGGAAAAAAAGTAAAAAAAAGTAAAAAATGCTGAATAGGAGCCCGGTTAGAAGTGAACCATCCCGATGGGAACAGCTACTCCTCTATTAGTCCTGCTCGAGATAAGAGAGAGCAGCACCGCGGACAGCAGGCAGTTTCTCATTCGGTAAAATATAGCTACGACTGAGTGGAGCACACTCCGATCAACCGGCCGTGGGGAGCACGTACATTCCTCACAGGAAGGCGGCCCGTGTCGTCGCCGCCGAAGTGCTGGATGTCCGTGGAGACATGGAAGTTAATCCCCCCGGTGTGGATAAAAAGGCAAGCAGGTAACGTTACCAATTCCAAATGCGAGGTATTCCGTTCAGGCAGGCAAATGAGGGGAAAAACCACTGGAGTTCCCAAAAAACGAATGAGGCAGTTTGGAAAAGATGAGCAAGCATGAATTAATTGCAGCCTATTGAATGAAACAAAAAATTAGAATAATTAATGAATGAAAATAAAAATAAAATGAAACGATGAAGTCAAATGAAAGTTCTCATGGGTCGTCGTGGAACCCGCACAGTAGCAGAGAACAGCTGCGGCTCGAGCCCTGCGGGTCCAGATTGAAATGCTGTGCGCGTGAATTGCGGGATGCTCGGTCCTCTGCGCGAGTCTGTACTATAAGTAGCTACCGAGTGTATGCAACACGGAATATTTGTCAAAGCGAGTTTTTCGCTGACTCCTCCCACCTGCTCTCTCATTGGACAGGCAGCCGTGGAGAGAAACCTGTCAATCAAGCGGTCGCCCGGCGACTGGTCGAGCTATGAGAGAATATATCGGACTTCAGGTCGCCAACCCAGATTTCAGTTCGTAGGGATTAATGACATTTCTGCATTTCAAAGAGAACTCGTGGTAGAATGTGTATAATCGCAGCTGTTAACATAACTACACCGAAAAACGGCAAATCGTACTAATAAGTACATAATATACTGTATGCATCCTAATCATTAGTACTTGGGCTAATGTTTAATCACTACTCTTTTTCTTTATTATATTTTATACCATTGTTCATTTAAATAATTAATTATATTGTTATTGTCGTGTTCCACGGCATGCACAATGGTCGATTTTAATTCCCATATGGCCAATAATCTTAAAATAAAGGCATTTATTTAGGCTGAGGTCGACAGAAACAGTCTTTGACAGAAAGCCGCCTGCTGAATGCGTGAGGGATTCATTCAGCAGTCAACAGCGCCCACTAGCGGCCAACTGAACTGAACCAACTGAATGTGTAAGTAGCCTACATTTGACTCTTCTTAAATTTGTGTATGAATTAAATAACAGGTTCATTACAACAATTTAGCACTATGTTTGTATTTTACACTGACAAAATATTAAATCATTAATTTAATTTAATTTAATTCAGGGTATATGATGATATAGCATACATTACTCTTATGTTGCCTAAAGTTAGTGTAGTTCAGTTTTACTTGTTAAATGCACTGTTATGTACTGTTATCACAAACGCACAAATTTAAATAAAACAATTTAAATATAAAATAATTTAAATAAAAAATAATAAACTATTATAAGTATAAACAGTCATAAAATAAGTAATACAAAAAAAACAGTTTTATTTATTATTATATTATATTATTACATTATATACAGACTGTTTAAGTTGATCTACTACTAAGTTCTGGAGAAATAAACAACTTAATGAAGTGTATTTTCGCCATGTCCAGCCTTAAGGAAGCAGCCTAAAACTAAATTAGGACGCAAGTGTGAAGAAAAGCATTCACACTTTCCTGTGAAGACTGTAATTGAATCATCGTATATTTACTGTTATCGCTGTGCAGTGTTGCTCTGCTGGTTTAAGAGACCATCAAACGCGCAGATTACACACATCGAAGCAAAAATTAACACACTACACATGCTGAATACACAGACCGAATGATTGCTGTGCATTAATGGAGCTGTTTATTAACGTGTTAGTTACATCAAAGGCCAATTGCCTGATTATGACGTCTATCTGTCTATCTAATAGGCTAGATTACACTTTTGTTGTGCTACGTAAACTCATATTTTGTCAATACAAGCCCTAAATTGCAAGTGCAAAATTAAAGAGGCAATCTTATAATTGTTTTTCAAGCACTATACTTAGCCTACAAAGAGCTCTAAAGGTAATAAATTATTTACTTTATGCAATAGTCTGTTTCTGAAAATGCTCCCACACTACCAAACAAAAGGACGAGCTAACACAATTCAAGAAGTCATCCCAACGGGAAAACAAGGAAACGGCGATTTCCTGAACTATCTTAAAAATAACCAATGCAGATGAGATGTTAAGATATCAAAGTGTCCTGGTAAAGACGTAAACGTGCGCTTTTTTTAGCATATTCTTTCTTGAATTCTTCGTTAGAACATTTCTATCAGAACAAACACCGTTAATTAATCTTAACAACATTTCTAATTAAATTAATAATAACCTTAATCCACGTGCACGGGAATAAATATTATAAATACATATCTATTCAATGGAAACATATTAAACTATTTCCTCTAGCTTCTTTAGGCTATTTATAACGAATTGAGTTTTGTTTTTCTGATTGACATTTAATTTTTAAATGTATTTTCACTATCAGTTTAAACATCTCAACCCAAATGTTCCCCAAGTCTCATGACGCTCCGTAAATGAAAAACAAACAATGCTTCACACATTCAAGATCAACTCTGAGCAACTTCTCAGGTCTTTGAAATCACAGGGTCAGATCGATGTTTATTCGGTTGCACGTGAATAATCCCACTGTCCACGGGTCCCTCGGAGCGTGATTAAACACAGTAGGCTACACTTAGGAGAAAACACTCATGCTGGCCTCCCTA